GTCGACGTAATCGGGCCGTTTGCACGATAAATTCAATCAATACCTGTCCGGTGCGCGCGCGCGCGCGCGCGCGACGCAGGACGCGTCTTATATGGCGACACCGGGCGCTTTTTGCCGCGGCGTTACGCCGCCATAAATCGCGGCCTATGATGGGCTACATGTGTCGACGGCACGCCACGGTTTCTTGCGAAAACGTGAGCCGCGACCCAATGGGGTCCCCGTGATTTTTACATCTTGTTTGCTTCCACGATGCCCTCCCCTACCCCCGCCCTGCGCCCTGCGCCCCCCGCCGCCCCGTCCTCGCGGCGAGGCCGCTCTCGGGTCTATATGGCGCTCCGTGTTATTTCGCGGGCTTCGAGTTCCTCGGGAGTGTTCCGCCTGTTCTCTCGGCCTACCTTCGCCTTTCTTATCTTCGGGCCGAGCCGAGCCGAGCCGCCGCCGCCGCCGCCGCCGCCGCGATCATTCATATCGGAATACCTGCCGTTGCCGCTTATCGAAGAACATCGTTAGCGAGCGCGTCAAGTATGAAAAAAAAGGGTCTTGCGCGAGGCGGCTCAACTGTTTGATAAATCTTGTGATAATCGTACAATTTTCTTCTTCTTCTTCTTCTTCTTCTTCTTCTTCTTTTTCTTTACGTGTCCGTAATCCTTTTCGAAGATTCTCGTCCCGCCGAAGTCGCTGTCTGCCTTTTCGTTACTGTGTCGTGAAACGCCCGAAATTGGACTTTCCCGCGCGTCTGTAAATTGAGAAGGACGCTTTTGCGAGTCGTGAGAAGACGCAACGAGAGAGAAGAAAGAGACGTCTCTTGGGTCGACATTTTTCCGCGCATCCGCAAGGTCCGCTGCCGCCGGTCGCAATTTCCGTTCGAGCGCGCAGGCGATAAATCTTACCTCTCGGCTCATCGTAACGTCCGTAATGAATCATCGTAAGCGACTTTATGTCGAGCCTATCACTCGGAATCACGGGCCATCGTCTCATGGTCCGATGGCTGTATTACGACGACAGCGTCTACATAAATCAGCGCGTCGTCGATATCGTTCGCGTCTCGGGGACCACCGTCGTCAGCGCGCGTCCTTTTGGATTCCACGCGTAGGTGGTTGCGCTATAATTCCTGCCCATACCGGCTGTGACAGGGAAGCTGTCGGGCCGCGACAGTGGCAATAATTCCCAACGATTTTATCTCCGTGGAATTTCAACCGAGACGCAAATGTCCCTCGTAAAGATGCGCGGCGATGTCGCTTAGGACAGCCCCGCCAACGGCGGCAACGGACCTTGTGGATACTCACTCGATGTGTCTCATCGAGCCTCCACCCGCGACACGTCCGTCTCGCGTGATCCCCGTTAATCTTAATCGCGGACGCCGAATCGTGGTCTCTCGCCGTCGTCGCAATTGGAAGCATTTCCGATCAGACGCGCAGCGGACACCTCGTGTATCGCGCCTCGATGCATTTATTTGTTGTTATCGTTGCTGGGACGTAATTTATTCAGCGCGCGGTTAATTGACGCACGAGTCATCCAGTCGTTCCACCGACGATCATTTTTATTTTCCTTGTAGAAATTTATGTCACGTACATGTGAAAAAACAATAATTTGAGCTTGAGATTTCTAAAAGTAACACAGTACGTGTTGCGCCTTGTACTTGGCGCCTTTCTTTTACCTTTTTGTTCAGAAAGATAAGTTTTATATGTTTTATACATGTTACATACATATATATCGAAAAACAAAATTTTTATTACGCGGGATAGAAGCGTGACAATTTAGCCGGCTGCCGGAATTAGAATCTTTCCTCGCTTCCAACGGCGATTTTCTTCTCCACTTTAATACAATTTAGGGGAAAGGAACATTCCGCGATTCCCTTTTCAGCGTTTCTCTTACAGTACATAAACGGAACGAGGCAGCGATTTGGCGCAACGTGCTGAATAGCTCCTTGCGCCAATTGGCTCTTTCACCCGCGTGAACGAGCATGGATCGGTTTGCTTGTGATTTCTCGCGAAGAACTCGACATATACGCACACACTTTGAATCCGAAATAACCCGAATCTGCCACCGCCCTTGGCACTCCGCCGCGGGTCCCAAGCGCGACGGAAGGAATTCCCGTGGACGTGTGTGCGCGCGTGTTTACTTTGCGGCCGTGCTCTAGCTGCGCCTTCTTCAACTATTCTTCCTTTCCCCCCCCTCTCTCTCTCTCTCTCTCTCTCTCTCGCTCTCTCCTGTACTATTTGAACGAGTCGATAAAGCCGCCGTCGAACTATTTATCATGCGCTGAAGCGCGCGAGCAAGGAACGGCGCGTCGGCCGTCGTCGAGGGTAAACAATCGCGCGGTGCCGGGATTACCGGAGTCGCGTTTTTTTTTCTTTCCCTCCATGAACCTCCCGCTCGATATGCCTCCCTCGCGGCGCGGCGAGTCTCTCTCCTCGTCCCTCTGCACCTCGGTTTTCCTCCCTTTCCGCCGTTTTCCCCTTTCCGCGCTTGGTACCCGGTGCCGATAACGTTTGTTCGCGCGTCGCGTGGAAACGAGACCGCGGCTCGCGCTTATCTCGCCAACAACGCGACGGTTCGATTGTTTGAGAATCGTAAAACCCCGTCCGGGAAAAAATCGAACGGATTGCTTTCCACGAATTACGAGATCCTTCGCGAGGCGCAATGAGTTCATCACGAGCATGGCGTTCGCCACGCGCGCGCGCGATGATTGGACTCGGTTCGTCGAGAGCCACGTGGGGAAACGCGTGATTCAGCCCGAGGTAATACGTGCGGCAATACGAGACACGCCGACGTTGCGCTACACCTTTGCTTGTCCAACGGGACCGAGACGGCGCGGAGACGACGCGCCGAGACTTTGTGAATCGCCGGAAACGCGTGATGGAAAAACTCTCTCTCTCTCTCTCTCTCTCGCGACAGTCGTGACGCTGCTTTTCATGCACTCTTTGGGCCTTCTTTGAGCATCGTTGAGCTTTCTATTTTAACTCAACTAATGTTGCAGCAACAACTTTCCGCTCCTTTCCCACTGCCCCTCCCCCCTCCCCTCCCTTCTTAAAGAAGGCTGCTTTGTACGCTTCTGTCGTTCTAACGGCAAAAAGTGCCAGCTAATTCAGCGAAGAGGAAAAGATTTTTTGTCTCGCTCAACGAGTTAATGCCTCGTCGTTTGGCCACCTCTCGTATATTGTCAAACTGGATGACACCCTATCGTTCTCGTTAATCTTCCGAACTGATGACGTCTCGCACGGAGAACAATGTGACCGCGGTGTAACTTACTCCGTCACGGTAGTCCTGGGTCACGACAAATAATATCTGGAACAGATCGAATTGAGGATGAGAGAGGAAACGAAGAGAGCAGGATCCACCGTGATAATGGGGTGTAACGGCATAAATCACCCCGAGTGCCGCGAGACCCCTCTTTCGTCCGCGCAGCTTACACCCCGTCGTCCTCGTTCTTCTCGCTCTTTCGCTTGGCATCGCTGAGATGCTAGGAAAGATCGTCCTGGTCGTCCTGCTCTCTCTCTCTCTCTCTCTCTCTCTCTCTCTCTCTCTCTCTCTCTCTCTCTCTCTCTCTCTCTCTCTCTCTCTCTCTCTCTCTCTCTCTCTCTCTCTCTCTCTCTCTCTCTCTCTCTCTCTCTCTCTCTCTCTCTCTCTCTCTCTCTCTCTCTCTCTCTCTCTCTGCTTTCTACCTTTCGTCCACGATCTCGCACAGCCTCAATCCGAAGCTATTCTGTCTCCGCATCCTCTGTCGCGGTCCACTACTGTGAGCGAGGAAATACACAACGGAATGCCACCGTCGCCACGGAAAAGACTTGTGACGAATTTCGGGCTCGTAGCCGAGCTCGATTCGTCGCGGTCGATCAGCCGGCCGTCGAGCCGAGTCAGCCACCCTCGCGCGCGACGTTGAATCGTTTAACGTCTTATTCTTGCCCGATTTCCGTCGGGTTCCTCTCCACCTCGACACGCACGTGTGTCTCGATCGACCTAAAAATTCCTTCCGCCGACTTTTCGCCGATCGGTCGCTTGAGAAACTTGAAATACGAATCACTCGGAATTAAGAGAATGCAGCCGCGCTTACCAAGTTGGACACAAATGGGCAGTACTCGTCAACTTGTCCGATTAGATTAGATTAGACGTAATTATATCACTTGACGAAGAATGCCAAGCAGGATAATTCAGCCATCATCTGTTACTCCAAGCGTGAGAACTCGCGCTCTCGCGCGAGTTACGTCTCGGCCGAACAAGCCGCTCGAAAGTGAGAAAAATGTCAAACTCGCCTCGAAAAGATGCAGCGCGATGTGATATCTCCCTCGCTAATGGGACCATGTAACATTGTCTTGACACAGTGCGAGCTCGCAATTTACGAAATCGCCTCGGCCGCTCTTCCCTCCGTGATATCTCTTCACCGGTACAAAAGGAGCCGGCAGGCACCTGCGTCTTATGCAGATAAGGTCGAGGTGCTTCGGGTCAGCCCACTCAGGGTTAAGGTCACGTACCGTCTCCCGCCTGTCTCTCTTCCTCCCTCTGTCGTTCTCCTCGTCGCTCCCGCGGTCCTCGCCACTCCCGTTCTCCCTCGCCACCTTCCACCTGCGAGGACCTCTCGCGCGCGCAGGTAGTCTCCTGCGGAGGATTGAGACGTTGCCTGACGTCACCACTCACCTCCCACGCGACTAACCACCGTGAAAGTTTTGTCTGCACCGAGCCGCCGAGCATGGAGATATTGATATCTGCGTTTCTTCCCAGTCGAGAGAGAAAGGAAAGTATGTTTCACGAGAATACTTGTGTGACTGCCGAGGAGATTCATCTCACTGCGAAATGGCGGTCGCGAGGAAAACGAGTTCTTTTCGAGCGCCCGCTCGCGCTCGCGACGCCGAGTGAGATTGGAAATTTCCAATCTAACCTAACCTAACCGATTGCGACGATGCGCATTGCGATTAGTTTTTCGGGGCGAGGCGACAGCGACTCAGCAGCGACTCAGTTTCCAGCACGGCGCGCGTCATAAATTTCCCGTGATTTCCTTGCAGGATGCCGAGAGACCGCCTTCATCTACGCCATCACGAGCGCGGCTGTGACTCACAGCATCTCGAGGTCATGCAGCGAGGGCAGCATACAGTCGTGTTCCTGCGACTATACTCACCAATCAGGCACATCATCCGCCATTAAGGACTGGGAATGGGGCGGTTGCTCGGACAACATCGGCTACGGCTTCAAATTCTCTCGCGAATTCGTCGATACCGGCGAGCGCGGTCGGAATCTCCGCGAGAAGATGAATCTGCATAACAACGAGGCCGGCAGAGCGGTAAGCTCGCTTCTCTCTCCGTGATTTTTTATCATTGTCGTTGCGCACGTAAAAAGAAGAGAAAGAGACAAAATGGAGAAGCGCTCGAGTTATTTTCCCCCGAGTGATTCATGTCTTATTCATACATTACGTATACATTCCCTACATTTGTCTCTCTATTTATTTGTATTTATTTCAATTTATTTCTGCTTTTGTTTCACTTTATTCTTCGTCATCGTCCATTTTGCTCACAAAGTAATTGGCTAACATTTGTCACGATTTGTCGTAAATTCGGATCGAAATGCGGGAGCGAGCGCGGGGCTCGAAGCGACCACCCGAATAAGATATCTCCGATGCGAAACAGAGCCTGTCCGAGAGTGTCCGAGAGGATCAGCGCGAGGATACGAAAATAGCGGGCGCCGTCTGTTGTTCGTTACAGCACGTGTCCTCGGAGATGCGGCAGGAGTGCAAGTGCCACGGCATGTCGGGCTCGTGCACGGTCAAGACTTGCTGGATGCGGCTGCCGAATTTCCGGGTGGTCGGTGACAACTTGAAGGACCGTTTCGACGGCGCCTCTCGGGTGATGCTCAGCAACTCGGACCGTACGCGCGGCAACGGCAACAGCAACACCATCACCAGCAACTCCGCCAGCAACTCGGTGCACGGTCACCGCGAGGGTCCGCCTCGCCGGCACCGCTACAACTTCCAGCTGAAGCCGTTCAACCCGGAGCACAAGCCGCCCGGGCCGAAGGACCTGGTCTATGTGGAGCCGTCGCCGGCGTTCTGCGAGAAGAACCCGAAGCTCGGCATCTTGGGCACTCACGGCCGGGTCTGCAACGACACCAGCATCGGCGTCGACGGCTGCGACCTCATGTGCTGCGGCAGGGGCTACAAGACGCAGGAGTTGACGGTGATCGAGAGGTGCGCGTGCACCTTCCACTGGTGCTGCGAGGTCAAGTGCCAAGTGTGCAGGACGAGAAAGATAGTACACACATGCCTGTAGAGGAGGAGCCCAGGCTCGCTTGGTCTCGCGAGTGACGCAGGAGTTGCGCAGGTGACGTGAGCTTTTACGGCAGAAACTGGGCTCGCTTGCGAGCTCTTGTGCTTTCGGCGAGACGTTACAATCTCGCCGAAACGAAAGTGTAGCGAAACGGAACGGGCTCGAGGAACAACTCCACGTAAGGACAAGACTACGTTTCCGTTTCAGAATCGAAATGCCCCGGCGGTCTCCTTTTCGCTGACGCGCGAACGACCGATCGGCGGTCTCGACCGACGCGAGAGGATCTTCTATCGCGCGACTCGCCGGACGGGGCCGAGAAGTCGTCCCGGCGACCCGCGCGTGGCCTCTCCTCGTCTCTCCAGTATTACGCGAAACGAACGAAGGCGAGAGAGAAATCACGTATATTTATTAATACGTCACGTCGCGCACGTACTAAAGACTGAGACGGTGGGAGAAGCGTTCGCGCGATCGTGTAGTGTTCTAAGGCTTTTTTTTTTTTAAGGCAGACTGGAAGATCGGGCGCGTGGAAGCGATGTAAATACGAGCGACTCGCGGACGAGAGTCCGTCGCCGACGAGGACTCGACCGTGTGGCCCGTTCATGTCGGTCTGTGAAGTCGACCCGACGCAGCTGTGTCGCACGCACGTGTAACACAGGAGAATCATTTGAGGCTACTACATTGTGTGTGTGTGCGTGCGTGCGTGCGTGCGTGCGTGCGTGTGTGCGTGTATGTGTGTGTGTGTGTGTGTGTGTGTGTGTGTGTGTGTGTGTACGTTATTCGACGAAAGCGTCGAAACCGGCTCAAATAACGCGCTCAAACACGATTCGTTGGGACTGAAAAGGTACATTGAGAAAACGCGTACATTGAGTCGTTACCGGACGATCAGACGCTCGTCTAATCGGTCTTTTCTCCGTTGTAAGAGGCCGTCGACGAAGCTGCGTTAAACGAATTGAGCTATGAGGCCTTCGGTTATCTGAGTTGCCGCACACACGGCATATTCGTTTTAAGCAACGCTCTCCGTGGATTTGCAACGCGAGCGTCGTAATCGTTATTTATTCCAAAAGATTCTCTCTTTCCGGCCCTTCCGGCACCCGTTTCCCCGAGGAAAAAAGCGGGTTACAATCTCCGATTAAGATGGCGCGCTTGTACATACATAGAGGATAGTTATATATTTTGCACTTACGCGAGCCGATTGACGATTCCACAACTCATCCTGCAGAAGTCTATTGTAAATAACCGTCGAGCCTTGACGCGACGCTAACGCGACGCCCGAGGGGCACCGAGAGCGTGCGATAAATTATTTTTATATCTTTCTCTCGTAATTCTCTCTCTATATTTCCCCCCTTCCCCTTGTCGCATTCCTCATTTCTCTCGCCCTCTTCTCGTAATCGCGACGAGAAAAGGCGCGCGGACGTAAAGAACGGAGGGAAAAGCATCTTCTGCAAGTGCTGCTACTCTAGCGAGTCTACTTCTCCGACGAGAGAACGGTGATTTTAGCATTGTGCATAATAGATGTATTAATTATTGCTCGTAATTTATGCAAGTAAACGTATAAGGTAATTAAATAAACGACACATGAAATTGAGACCCTCGGCGGTATATTAACCCCCCTGCCCCCCCCCTCCCCCGCCGCAGCTCTGTAGATGCTAGAAGAGAAAGTTGCGAGAGGAGAAGATCGCGCTCGATAGTATAGAAATTACGGCAAGCTCTTACGCCGCGCGCAGCCTGATGAATATTAATAACGCGTGAAAAACGGCATTTGCTTAATATCGAAAATTTATCGGCGACATGTAAATGTGTGGCTAATGAGTATTTCTGTTTTGCGAAAAAAAGAAAAAGAAAAAAAACGAAAACAAGCAAGCGAGGCGTGAGAAATCGACGGCTCCGTCGAAGCGGCAGAGCGAAGGAGAAACCGATCCCCGGGTTGCGCATCGGGTCGTTCGAAGAGGGAGCGAGGGAAGTCGTCGGCTCGAGTCCGCGGGATCGAGAGAGAAAGAGAGAGAAGACCAAGGACGCATTCTCTCGCAGAGACGGGGTCTCCGCTAGGAGACCGTTCCTCGATCGCGGATCTCCGCTGCGAGATCTACGAGCTAGTCCGCGATCCTCCGGCCGTACTTTGGCGAGCGCGCTGCGCGCGCTGTGTGTCGCAGGACTATTCAATATTTTCCCATTACACGATGCGCGCCGCCGTCGACGTACTCCCGCGAAATATAGCCAACTGGTTCCCCAGCTGGACGACTTCATAACTCCTGCGTCGAGTGAATGTCGTGGGAGGCCCATGCCCCGAGGAGGACTGGTTCAGCTTTCCTCCTCCTCCTCCTCCTCCTCCTCCTCTTCCTCCTTCACCTCCACCGCCGGCTGCTCTTCCTCCAAACCTCTCCTCTCGTCCTTCCTCCTTTTTCTCTCATCGCGTTCTTTCTTCCTGCATCTCTGTCTTCTTCTTCCACCGTTTCAGCGGCCAGCGAATGCTGCACGCGATGATAACGAACGCAGGAATCCCGCAGGAATCTCCGCGCGCGGGATAAAAGGACCCTGACCGCATACGAACAGGCATCCGCGCTAATGGTACCAACACTCCACCGCCGACCTACCGGCTTTCTTTCCCCACCCTCCTCTTCCTACCCTACCTTCCTTTCACCTTTTTTTCCACGCTCCTTGCCCGATCTTCCTCCTGCTGCCGTTGCTGGTGCTGGTTCTGCCGGTGCTGCTCCGTTGCTGCTCGCTTCCTCCTTCTTTCCGAGTGTGTCTACCTACGGACCACCGCCGTTTTTTCAACTCCCTCTCCCGTAGCCGCGCATGGCAGATATTTCCCTCGGACGCGTTGCAAACGTTGGGCGCTTCGGACTATTCGGCTACGTCGACCTAATCGATTCATTCATAACAGGCAATAGTGGCGATTCGATCGAGACGGTAGCGTTCGATCTTAACGTCGCCGCCGTCGACTCGGCGCGGTACTCGGGAACGACTGCGAAGTGAGGACCAAGTCGGCCGAGCCGTTGGAATCGACTCCTCCTCGTTATTGCGCAATCCCAATCAACTTCCGCCATCGAGATGTCGAGCGTCCTCCAAAGCGACGCCGCGGCTCGGGGGGATGCATGCTTTGCCGTGATAGTAAAACAAATTCCTGCCACGAGAGAGAGAGACTGCCAACGTTCCGGCAGACAAGAATCTCGGGCAGTCGGACCACTTCTCACGGCGGTCCCTTTGATCTTACCTGACCCACCCACCCCCTTGGTCCCCCACCGCGACCAACAGACACCAGCAGTCCTTCCCTCCTCCGCCCTCCAGTGAGTTCGGGTTTTTACCCTGGCATCGAGCAGCCGGGGACCAACCCTCCTCCTCCTCCTCCTCCTTCTCCTCCTCTTCTTCTCTTCCTCTTCCTTCTCCTTCGTCTCGCTCCCCTTGGATCTCCTCGCATTCTCCAAAAGCACCAGCGCGTCCTGGAGGCGACCGAGGTGGATTCATTCAGTTTTACTATTATTACGCATACCGTCACGCGTGCGGCTCGTTTCAGCGCCGGAGAATGCAATCCTGCAGCCCGATGCGATTCCGCGTCTAATAGGGGTGTCGGCTTAATGGAGTCCACTCGGACACGCGAGAGGGAAAGGCGACTGAGACGGAAAGAATCGTGTCGTTGAAGGGATCCAATCGCGGTCTCCTCGAGAACTCGAGGAAAGCAGCGCGTGCCAATTTCCGCGGAAGCGGAGCACTCATCGTCCGAGGACAAAATGGCGGAGGAGCAAAATCCCGCCAGCTCAGCTGGCGACGTCGCAATTGATAAGTCAGGTCAATTTACCGATTCCCCATTCCATTGCCGGCGGCCACACGGAGATGCCCCAGCCGCGGCGGCGGGCGGCAGCGGCTAATTAGAAATAAAACAACGCCGCCGACAGCGCGCGATCGAGACTTTCTATCGGGCGCTCCTTTCGTCGCTCCTTATCGTCCTTTGAATCTTTCGCATGGATGATCCTTCGTCGGACGCGGAGGAGAGCGATCCCTGTCTCCGGCGCTGCGATCTGATAGAGGCGACGAAAACATTTAGAGGTTATAAGAGCCCCTGGGACGATAAAATCGGGGCAGCCAGGCGGGCGGAACGACACGCGGCGTGTCGTGCACGAACACACGCGCGTGGCATCCTGATGGGCTGCTCCTCGCCAGCCGCTCCGCACGCGGAGGAGGCGCTCGATTGTCATCCTCCCGCGCGCGACGCATTTCGTATTCCTGAAGCGCGGCTCGGATACGAGCGCTGATAATGCACGGAGGTTATCCCGCGCTGCGTCGTATATATCGCGTACGAGAGCCGCCATATTGCGCCTCCTGTCATCCTCTTCAATCTCTTCGACCCCGCGGATGGCGGATGTAAACTCGAATTGCTTTAATTGCTCGGCGCTTGAGCGCGCTCACTAGTAACTTGGTCCATCTCGAGGTTTGAGATCTCGGAACTTGAAGTCGAAACTGAGGTTCGAGTCGATGCTCGCGGAGAAACGAATTGCGAGAAGACGCGATATCGGCGCGAAAAAGTCGAACGAAGAACTGTGCCGATGGGGATCAGAATCCTCCGATCTCATCCTCGAACGATTCGGGGTAGGTAAAAAAGGACGCGCGCGCGCGTCCACGTAAATCTACTAATTTATCGTTTTTGCGATCCGGCCGAAGGTGGCCCGTCTTATTCGCCGACGTTGTCGTCCACACCGTAGTCGGGATGTAGCCCGCAGGAATGGCTGGAATCCTTTCTGGCTGAACCTGGAGCTCCCCATCGTCGTCGTCGTTGTCGTCGTGGCTATCCGTGGGAAAGAATATCGGCTGACGTTCGGGACCACACCGCCGAATTATCGGTGTTTTGGCATGTTATAAGGTTCCGAAAGAGAGAGAGAGAGAGAGAGAGAGAGAGAGAGGAAGGGGGAAAGACAGAGAGAGGAAGAGAGAGAGAGAAGGGGAGAGAGATGTAGCACGCACCCCCTAACCTCTCCCGACTGCCCTCGTCTGAGGACTCGCCCCCTCGGCCATTCCACCTCCTCGCAGCTGTCCTCCTCCTCGCGAACCAGCAAGGAGAATCTCCGGCGGAATCCGCGTCCCCAAGTGTGGGAACGAAATCGCGGTACGGCCGTGGCTCGTAGAACAAACGTGTACCAACGTGTCGGTCGACACCCGGATTCCTTTCGTATCCTCCGGCTTTCCCTTTCTACACAACTTCCGAGAGACCTTTCTCTGGCTCCCCCTCTCCCCCCTTCTCCTAGTCGCCTTCCGGATCGACTGCTAACTTGGAGTAGTCTTCTCGTGCGACGAGATTATCGACAAGTCGAGTTTCGACGGACACTCGGAAGGGGAGAAGAGACTGGACGCGGCGTCGTCATCTCCTGCTCGGCTTGACGGGATTTAAGCGTGCAGGTTGATTCGCGAGAAAACACGAGAAGGAGCGTTTCTCGCGTACATCTCGCGTGGAGGTTCCGAAGAGAGAAAGAGAGAAAGAGAGAGAGAGAGAGAGAGAGAGAAAAGGAGAGAGAGAGAGAGAGAGAAGGCGACAGTCCCTCTCGGTGCGTAAGAAATCCGGCCAGGGCTCTCTCTCTCTCTCTCTCTCTCTCTCTCTCTCTCTTCGCTCTTTCATCCGTGACGCGATCGTAGCGAGTAAATAAGTCATTGAAGAAGCCGAGGAGCGGATCGGACCACCCTGGGCGATCCCGAGTGATAATCCAACGGGCACCACCCCGGGTAGATTTACG